CATCTTATAAAATCATTTTGAGAACGGACGGGAATTCCTCCACATTTATACCAGTATCCATCATAACCGATTACAGCTGTATCGCTTGAATAAAATTCAATGTTATAATATTTACGTTCATGCCGCATATGTAGCTAACATCAATTGCTAAACTTTAAATGTACAATTAGCAATAAGATACATACACAAAATGTAAAATATATGTTATTTAGTGTGAATTTAAAAGTCTCTATCCCTAGTGTATACACATGTCTACCAGTAAAGTAAACGTAGGGTTAGGTTCACATGATGGAATATTGGACTCTGGTGAATAATTATGGGGAATTGTTTTAATTGCATGTAATGTTTTTTACATAAGTTAATATGGATTAAATATTATTGAAGTACATGTGGATTAATAATAGTAATTTGGATTGATTTTTTTCCATTTATTAAATACACGTGAATATCTTGAAACTGGCGAAGTTGATATTTAGTGGAAAGAATCATGCTACATTGGGTGAATACCATTGAAATATTGATACTGGTGAACACAATTGATTCGTTGTTAATTATAAATGACAATTTGTGGCAGCCAAATAATGATTACCAAAGATTGTACAAGATACACACATTACAAGAGAATAACACCGTTTATTACAAATTTAGATCAGATTCAGTATAGCAACTATAGTACTCAGTATAGGACTCGTCAGTGATGTTACATCATACAGCTGTTTCGTCCTTCTAGGACTCGTCAGTGATGTTACATCATACATCTGTTTCGTCCTTCTAGGACTCGTCAGTCATGTTACATCATACAGCTGTTTGTCCTTCTAGGGCTCGTCAGTGATGCTTATAACTCAAATTTAAACCTAGTAGGCGAGTGGGTAAAATCGGACGTGAAAGAAGTGTCAGAATCTAGATGGAGAGGTGAACAGGCCCCATAATTCCTAAATATTAGGATTGATCACATACTGTGAAAATGCATTAACAACTAGTAGGCTTTATGTTGGTGTTAACTACTTTTTATTTCAATAATACTTCTATTTTAATTTAATTGTGAAAATTCTTTTATCTATTTCGTTTTATTTATTTAGTCACCTCATACTAGATAAAAGTAGGTAAAAAATGCATACCAGCTGATTAAACGAAGGGGGGAGTTCACACAAAATTAAGAAATTTATCATTGTGAATGAGTTTTCAACATGATCTGTAGAGGCCTACTAAAGTTAATGTTGTTTGTACTTATGTTGTGATCAGCATTTGCCATTTGTATTTACCATCACTTTTCTGTTTTTGGCTTACATCAATGTGTATATAAGTTTCGAAGCCAGTGAAGAGTTCAGTTAAATGTTTAATTTTGCCATAAACCGTTGAAAGTTTTACTATCAAATCACTTAACTAATTAGCGGTGCTAATGTGATGAAGATGGGTTCATAACAATGTAGACCTCACACAGTGAATTGAGATTATTTAATTCATATATGTATTTTAGTAAAAAATATGGATACAGTCATCACAAAAGGATCAGATGATTTCGTTTCTCTTTAAAATCAGAATATATCATCTACATCTCTAGATCATAACGCGATAAAGATATAATTCATTGTTCACGCTTACAATAATAGACTTACGACAAATAGTCTAACATGTTAGTGTTAACTGTTGTCATGGAAACTAGAAAACGTAAATAAGTAACTGGTTCTGGTTTGACAGTTTTGCAGGTATTTACTAAGAGACACACATCAAACGACACAGTAATGAGGTACAAACTTCGGTTTAATAAGACATACTTTAAACTCTCTGTGTATAATGACGTATTAACGATCAAGATGTTTCAGAACGTAATTTATTTTAATGTGAAGAGAAAACAGATGTGAAATTAATTTATGACACGTGTACAAAATTATCTCTTATACTTTAGTTCTAACATACTGACGTTATGTGTCTAATCAAAGCACGCTCTACGGAACAAAACATCAGTTGTAATCTTGTTACAAACGCATTAAGGACAAGAAGAAGCGGAAATTCACTACATGCAATATAAGACCATCGCGTGATCTAACTAACTTAGAGGGAGATATGTGTATATACAAAGTTCAATAAGGTTCATTACCTATGTCATGTTTATACAATCAAAGTATGTTACATAAAGACGTTTTCAACTTTCGTCGTAGATAATTCAGTTTGGGTACGACTTTTCCTTTATTATGCGTTTTAATATTACTAACAACACGAATTATTCTCGTTATTATGCAAATGACGGATAGACGAATGTTGATCCCTGTTACATTAAGCCTCTGTTTGAATTTAAACATGCTCTTGTACAAATGTTTCTATATGCCAGGTAAATTTGATGGATAAACAGTTAGCTTATGAGGTCACATTGCGTGCGGGTAATACAATAAGTATATTTATAATCTGAGTGTTAACACGAACACTGGACAAGCCTGATGTATTTCTACACAATTGAAACTACATTCTCACACATTTCAACACGAAACCTAATTTATGAATGAATCGACTTCAACCACGTTTTGCCAATATGTTTCTTCACACATAACAGACATTTCTTTGTAAATAACATCAGGAATTTGTAAATAACATAAACTAAACAACTACGTAGCTGTCTTTGTAAAAACTCATTATATTTTCTAGCACAAGTCATTTCTGCATATGTAAGATGTTGGTGAAACATTTTGCATTTTAAGTTCGGTAAATGGAAATGTTAACTGAGCGATATGATCATGAGTGTAACGCGGTAGATATGTCTACTAACACACGGATACATAACCACACAAAGACATCTAAATCATTGTATAGAATACGCTAGAAATAATTAATTATTTCGTTCTAATGATAATATTTTATGACTATACAAGGGAAATTTAACAAGATGATTATATATGAACTCAAACAATTAATTATTAACCCCAATGAATTATTCTCTGACAGACAGTACAACTGTACAAGTATAATGAAAGTATATCACCATTTTCGGTATTTCCATATTTGTATATAACAAGTACTGGGTACAAGTTCTCACAGTGTATTGAAACTTTTTGCACAAGTTTAATAAAAGTATATTATCATTTTCTATATTTCCATAATTGTATTTAACAACTGTTGGGTATAAGTACTCATGGTGGATTGATACTTAGTGTCAAAATTATTTTAAACAAAAGATGGTCCCTTAGAAACAGCGTAATAATGAACTGAGAGCGAATAATTACGATACTTAATCAAATTTACAAAACATTGTATATTTCTTGTGAATAAGAATATGCACTATAAATCGTACACTCTATGGGTTGGGGATAATATCTAAATTATCTGATATATCATAAAAAAAATACATCGAATTTAATTTCTGAAATAAATTAATTCACAAAGCAATGCTTCAGCTACGGTGGCAAATAAAAAAAACAAGAACTTATAAACACAATCCGTCTCAACTGTGTAATATTAATGGTGTCAGATATATCGCTTTGTGGAAAAAGAATCATGCTGAAAGGTTCTTCTAGTACATCAAATACCGACCTAGCAATATCCTTGTTGCTGATAAAATTACATCTTTGTTTTTGAAATCGTAAACTCTATGTAAAATAAGCGCCTCTATACTATCAAAGTTTACACACAACAAATCCAGTGCCAAATATTTAGTTTCGTGTGTGATACACGTCGAAGACAGAATTCTGTTTTCTCTATTCGTGATAAGTTGTCAGTGATGAAACTCTGGCTGAACTATAAAGGTTTAGTTATATAGTGTGTATACACTTTAAATACAATCCCGTGTGTTATACTTCGTTTATATTGAAATCTGTAAATGTGATTTTAAAGACAGAAGTTAATTCAGTGTCATAGATACCAATCTTAATCGATGATTTATGTCTTAAGGTTGAATACAAATCTAGCTTTTCCTCTGGACCTGATGTTTATACGCGAGTATAATTCAGAGTCGAACTGCTACAGTCCCTTTAAACTAATTGATAAGTGTTGTTTGGGTTAAATGATATAAATTTTAACATAGAAATTGGGTGATGGTTATCAACCTATTTTGGCAGGCTAGATCTAAGATAGTCAACTGTCCGCATGAATGAACAAGAAATGTAGAACGTGATTGACAACAGGCCAATCCACGGTCTTACTACACGTCAAGTCACAGATTATATTAATTGTTTCAGAAAGTTAGACATACGAAATTAAATGCTCGAGTGACGAATACTTTCAGAGCGTTCTGTGGTAAACATAGTTTGGCTCTGTGTTGAAATGTTTGATAACTTTTTAAATGATAACGTCTAGCAGGTAGAGCTGGACAGTTTAACACGAGAACGCTCTCTAACCATCACGCAGCTTATCAGGACCCGAGGTTAACCGGGTATTTATCAGGCAATGTATCACAATTTGACCTTTCTAAAATTAGTTTTACAGTTGTTCATGATATTAATTAATAACATAAAGACGATATCTGCCATGTACATTGTCCAGTTGTAACTATGTATTACAGGGAAAACTTAAAACCCACAGCAAATCACAATAACCTTACAAACAATGGAAATAAAAAAAAATTCACATGGAATGAAAACGTTTGTACCTAAATGATCTACCTCGAAAAATCTGTCTTAAAGCTATTTGAATGTAATGTAACCCAATGTGGAGGACGATTATTTGTGTCCATTTAAATCCAAACTTTTTTTTGTATAGTGGGCAGAATGTACACCATTCTGTATATCAACATTTTAAAAACACGCGATACGTGTGCGATCAGTTGAACAAAGATCTTCTTTGTGAGAGAGCTCCATCATTTCTGAAACTTTTTCTGTATGTCTTCTAATTCGCTATTGATATAACTTTATATTTTTATGTTTACATTACAGAAAAGGAGCGAAAGTTAAAAAAGAACCATCAGAAATACGATATCACTAAATTCATCCAAGTCTGTTATCGTGATAGGGATCAGAATCAAGCCCAGGAATAGTATCATACGCAGTAACTAGCCAAGCCTCATGTATACTTACCTAGGATCTGAGCCAGCGTTAGATATGTCAATCGCAGGACCATCATGATGCTTAGAAATTCTTCTCAGGTCCGTTGAAATGCAATGAAATAGGAATGTATTAAAATATGAGGGGATGACACCTCAGTTGAAACAGAATTCTGATCTTTTTACATGTGCCCGACGTTCACTCCATTTGATCATTCACTCACAATAATGTAGACGAACATTCAATTGTCCGTCATTGACACTAGTTAACTATGACCATTGTCAATGGTCAACCCATCGGTCCTTGCCATGGTAGTTTTATTGTCCATGCGGTCAAATGTTTAACCTCCTGAATAAAGTAGACACGTATTTTGTATCGAAACGTGTGAAAAATAACTGCGTTGACAAAAGGAATCCTCTCTACTCTTAAACACCACTTAACATAATTTAACAAAGATCCCTTAGTTTAGAATTAGTTTGACAAGAAAAATACAAAGATAGATAACATTTTCACTTCGCACACAACGCGAACATCTGTAATCGTGATCCAAGTGCTTCACCTACATCAACAGGTTGTTAAAATCCTCTCGCAATCGTTTAAAGAATTTAGCGTCCGCACATCTGCCCGCTCTTGTAAGATGAACACTTCGGAGCAATTATCAGGTTCACGGGTGGTCAGCCGACAGGTCACTTTACATTTCCGAATGGTAAGAAAGGTTTATATACTCCCCACTGACTGGCCGAGTAGGGTACTACTAGTGAAGTGGGAGGGCTGATTGACAAACACACTACACGTTCCGTAGAGGACCAATTACATCGCGGTGTGTTATTGGCACGAACTCATTAGTCGCGATCGTATTGGCGCTCAGTAGATCGTCTGTTTGTATGTTAGTCCTGTGTTTACATCAACACCCATGTAGCCGCTTTAGTTGTACGCTGGGTAGTCCCAATTACACCCATTACGTGGCTTCGGAGGTCCACTCCAACCTAGTGTTACGTGTGTTATCGACAGGTGTGGGGAGATGATGTGTGTATCAGTAGAGGCGAAGTTACAAGATCACTCATCCTTTGTCAAATAAGACTAAAAAAAGGAGGAGACGATTTAGTAGAATTTCCATTATAATGTGTATCCGAATTTCCTATGGTTAGATTCAACATTTGGGTAGTTGATATATTTTCATCGGTGGTATGCGTTGACAAGACTTGAATGTTTATATGTGTATAGAAACACTACACGTAAGGTAAGACATTCAAATCAATTATACTCGTCTTCATTCATACACAGGGCTTTATAGAAGTGACAACGTGTATCAGACTCCGCAGACCTAAGCAAGACTTATCAGTCATGTATGAGATGTATTACACATCTTTCATGTAGAAGGAGGTTTGAGATAAGCGGGAAAATATTCTCAATTTCAAGAATTGCTTGAAGACTACATGTTTATATTTGCATTAGTCGATGTTTGCTAGCTTACCTCAACACGTAAGTAAGAGTAAACAGTTAAGTTAGTTTAGGTGGTTTAATTTTTAAAATGCTTTATGGGCCCCATCATCTCGATTTAAAATCCCACAAAGTAACTGCTCGACATAATTGTTTACATCTACTGTCTTATGTAAGTTATCTCAATCCTGTTTATATGATTATATTCGTGTTTAGCTTTATACGGAATTGGATGTCAAAAACAGCTGAACTCTAGTGATTTAGAATTGTACTAAATCAAAAAATATCTAGGACGACCAACATTTTAATCGCGGCCATTACTTTTCCTGATTGTGCAGGTGATATCAGCGGACTGGTTTAATTGCCCCGATTTCGGAGGTGTGAAGAATTTTACGAAAGATCAATTTGCTACAGACAGAAAATTAGAAAACGCACTCTCACTTGCCAGGTTTGCCCACAATTTATCGGGTTTCTTTTTTCCTATCAAAGGCATCCACGCGTGGTTTTGCAGTCTATGTATTTCTATATTTCTCGCTTTAGACACGCGCAGCAGATATATCTGTAATATTAGTACTCCTTGTCTACGATTTTCTCGTTCTTTGTCTTATTTTTCTCTTCCCTCAGACATGATTTGTTTCTCTGCACACATACTATATTTCAATTAAGGAGTGTACTCAAGCAGTCCAGGTTATTTTGATAGACAGTATTAATACGTCTGCAGGTAACATTTTGGCCTTTACCATCACTATAACACTGTCAGCGCCTCTAATGTGTCATTTACTATATGTTTAGGGCCTCTTAAGTGCTGCTATGGAATACACTATCAGGCCAAGGGTATTTATCCTATCATTGTACCCATTGCATTGAGTGCACTATCTGAATAAAACATCATCTGCAGCATTCTTTGCGATTAGTGCACGATCAGAACCAGAAGTGATGAGATCGCTTTCTGTGTCTAACGTCTACCATATAAACTAACCTGTGTATTTCACCTTCTGTAGAGAGCTTACTACCAAGGCCTAATAACCTGTGTATGTCACCTTCTGCAGAGAGCTTACTACCAAGGCTTAATAACCTGTGTATGTCCCCTTCTGTAGAGAGCTTACTACCAAGGCCTAATAACCTGTCACCTTCGGTAGAGAGCTTACTACCAAGGCTTAATAACCTGTGTATGTCCCCTTCTGTAGAGAGCTTACTACCAAGGCCTAATAACCTGTCACCTTCGGTAGAGAGCTTACTACCAAGGCCTAATGACCTGTGTATGTCACCTTCTGTAGAGAGCTTACTACCAAGGAATAATGACCTGTCACCTTCGGTAGAGAGCTTACTACCAAGGAATAATGACCTGTGTATGTCACCTTCTGTAGAGAGCTTACTACCAAGGAATAATGACCTGTCACCTTCGGTAGAGAGCTTACTACCAAGGAATAATGACCTGTCACCTTCTGCAGAGACCTTACTACCAAGGCCTCATAACCTGTCACCTTCGGTAGAGAGCTTACAACCAAGGCCTAATGACCTGTGTATGTCACCTTCTGTAGAGAGCTTACTACCAAGGCCTAATAACCTGTGTATGTCACCTTCTGTAGAGAGCTTACTACCAAGGCCTAATAACCTGTGTATGTCACCTTCTGTCGAGAGCTTACTACCAAGGCCTTATAACCTGTGTGTGTCACCTTCTGTAGAGAGCTTACTACCAAGGCCTAATAACCTGTGTATGTCACCTTCTGTAGAGAGCTTACTACCAAGGCCTAATAACCTGTCACCTTCGGTAGAGAGCTTACTACCAAGGAATAATGACCTGTGTATGTCACCTTCTGTAGAGAGCTTACTACCAAGGAATAATGACCTGTCACCTTCGGTAGAGAGCTTACTACCAAGGAATAATGACCTGTCACCTTCTGCAGAGACCTTACTACCAAGGCCTCATAACCTGTCACCTTCGGTAGAGAGCTTACAACCAAGGCCTAATGACCTGTGTATGTCACCTTCTGTAGAGAGCTTACTACCAAAGCCTAATAACCTGTGTATGTCACCTTCTGTAGAGAGCTTACTACCAAGGCCTAATAACCTGTGTATGTCACCTTCTGTCGAGAGCTTACTACCAAGGCCTTATAACCTGTGTGTGTCACCTTCTGTAGAGAGCTTACTACCAAGGCCTAATAACCTGTGTATGTCACCTTCTGTAGAGAGCTTACTACCAAGGCCTAATAACCTGTGTATGTCACCTTCTGTAGAGAGCTTACTACCAAGGCCTAATAACCTGTGTATGTCACCTTCTGTAGAGAGCTTACTACCAAGGCCTAATAACCTGTGTATGTCACCTTCTGTAGAGAGCTTACTACCAAGGCCTAATAACCTGTGTATGTCACCTTCTGTCGAGAGCTTACTACCAAGGCCTTATAACCTGTGTATGTCACCTTCTGTAGAGAGCTTACTACCAAGGCCTAATAACCTGTGCATGTCACCTTCTGTAGAGAGCTTACTACCAAGGCCTAATAACCTGTGTATGTCACCTTCTGTAGAGAGCTTACTACCAAGGCCTAATAACCTGTGTATGTCACCTTCTGTAGAGAGCTTACTACCAAGGCCTAATAACCTGTGTATGTCACCTTCTGTAGAGAGCTTACTACCAAGGCCTAATAACCTGTGTATGTCACCTTCTGTCGAGAGCTTACTACCAAGGCCTTATAACCTGTGTATGTCACCTTCTGTAGAGAGCTTACTACCAAGGCCTAATAACCTGTGCATGTCACCTTCTGTAGAGAGCTTACTACCAAGGCCTAATAACCTGTGTATGTCACCTTCTGTAGAGAGCTTACTACCAAGGCCTAATAACATGTCTATGTCACGTTCTGTAGAGAGCTTACTACCAAGGCCTAATAACCTGTGTATGTCACCTTCTGTAGAGAGCTTACTACCAAGGCCTAATAACCTGTGTATGTCACCTTCTGTAGAGAGCTTACTACCAAGGCCTTATAACCTGTGTATGTCACCTTCGGTAGAACACTTACTACCAAGGCCTAATAACCTGTGTATGTCATCTTCTGTAGAGAGCTTACTACCAAGGCCTAATAACCTGTGTATGTCACCTTCTGTAGAGAGCTTACTACCAAGGCCTAATAACATGTGTATGTCACCTTCTGTAGAGAGCTTACTACCAAGGCCTAATAACCTGTGTATGTCACCTTCTGTAGAGAGCTTACTACCAAGGCCTAATAACCTGTGTATGTCACCTTCTGTCGAGAGCTTACTACCAAGGCCTAATAACCTGTGTATGTCACCTTCTGTAGAACACTTACTACCAAGGCCTAATAACCTGTGTATGTCACCTTCTGTAGAGAGCTTACTACCAAGGCCTAATAACATGTCTATGTCACCTTCTGTAGAGAGCTTTCTACCAAGGCCTAATAACCTGTGTATGTCACCTTCTGTAGAACACTTACTACCAAGGCCTAATAACCTGTGTATGTCATCTTCTGTAGAGAGCTTTCTACCAAGGCCTAATAACCTGTGTATGTCACCTTCTGTAGAACACTTACTACCAAGGCCTAATAACCTGTGCATGTCACCTTCTGCAGAAAACTTACTACCACGAGCTACCGGTAATTTATGTCTAAACATTAAAGTTTCTTGTTTGCGTCAGGGATTAA